GTATGGTACATATGTAATTTAAATTATCTTTGCATTCATTCCGTAAGATTTTTTTAAATATTCTAAAATTAATACTAGATTTAATTTTGTTAAATAAACTAATAAATCCAAAAATTGTTTGGAAACATTATTTAAAAGGCAAATAGATGCACTTGACAATGTTTTTGAAAGCTTCCATGTTATTGCGGATTAAAAATGACCAAAGGCAGAGTTTTTCAATTTTGCGGTCCATTTTCCCAGAATGCTAGTTAGGAGAATATTTTAACGAACACATTTAAAAATGGAGCCAACCGGATTCTTGAGCATTCATTCATTTCATTTTAAAATATAACATATTTTTGTAACTAATAAATTTCAACAAATTGTTATTATTTTAGCTTTAGATGTCATATTTAGGGTCATATAATGAAATCTTCAAGATGAGTAACAGTTGAGCCATTCAATTAAACGCCAAAAATCGAAGGTGAAGTCACGATTTTTGGGAGTTTTCAGAGCTTGATTTACGTGATTTGTTTATATAGAGAGGTGTCACTAAAATCGGTTACCGCAGAATTTTAAAAACCAACCACAATTCAGCGCTGACCGATTTCTGCGGCATCCCCCACAGACTTTTATATTAAGGACGAGTACTTTGGTATTTTAAATTTTGTATAGCCCAACAATAAACATGGTTTTTGTTCATTTATTTATTTCATATTAACAGAAATAACCACTATGAGGTTATCTTCATAAATGAAAAGAACGATAATCAGAAACTCTACTTCTTTATTATAGTTCCTATCCAATCCAAATAACTCAAAACATTGGTATAGACATCTGGGGAGTGTTTTTGCATTCTTCCGAAACTGGCCAATCCGACGAGTGTGAACGCCCTACTATTTCCGTGGGAAAGACGCTTAACCAAGGGACTGCCACTGCCCACGTTCGATGTAATAGATTTGGGGTGCTCCATGCAGATTTGCTTGTCTCCGATCTCTTGGAGATCCTCCTGGTAGCATTCGGTAGAATTAACCCGATGAGCCATCGATGATCTCCAGATGCCCCAGCCCACGGCAGTGAGTTCCTGTGCATGATCAGCCTTCTTCTGGAACTTCTTTTGCTCCTTCTTGTTAGTTGGTGAAGGCAGACAAATCGGTTTTAACAAATCTGAGCAGAATAATAGATTTATTTTTGAAAAGGAACGATTTTTGGTAGCCCCACTTACCACTGTACTCCACTCCTCTCTCCAATTCAAGCAGAGCGACGTCGTTTCTAGCCAAGCTCATGAATTCTGGGTGCTTGTGTATAGAACTAACTTTGTAGAAATCCATAATACTTTCACTGGTCTCCCCAAAAAGAACCTTCCTGCATAGGCAAATGAAATTGTATTGTGCATCCACTGGAGATATCAAAGTACTCACAATGGAATTTCTTCAGGAATAAGCTCGGCAGTTGTCAGTACAAATCCTAAAAGAGAACAACGGTTTAAATCGTTTTAAAAACTATCATAACTTCAAATACAAACTGTGGGATATAAGTACGCCGTAGGACACCATAAAAGATTCCATGTAAACCTGGGCTAACCAGGGAAAAGTTTCTGGAGGGGTTTCTGCTCTTGTTCCTAATTTTGCGTTATCCAAACACCCTTCGTCCAGCAAGTCTATCTTCGGAAGTAAGACGGTAATGTCAGATTCCAAGACGATTCGCTTTATAAAGTCGACATAGCTCATAACATCGGTGAACACACCCATTCCGCCACATTGGTTTACTCCAGTACTGACGATTCCGAATTGAGTTTGGCGCCCTGAGCCCCCGTCTAAAACTTTTGAGTACAAGGGTCCTCCGGAGTCACCTTTACAAGCGTCGACCAAATTCGATGAGCCTGCACATATCTGTGAGTCTGTCAAGTTATACCAAAGCATATCAGCGCACTGGTTTTTGTCCAATCTGTAGACATCCGCCGTTCGAAGTATATCACTTAAATTTCCTGTTTCCATTTTTCCCCAGCCGACTATTGTGAATTTCTCAATGGCGTCCGATGTCGATTTTAGCCGGGAATCCAACTGAATGCATATCGGTCGAATTTGGTGCTTGTACACCACTCTTTTTTGAAGCCTGAGCAAAGCTATGTCATTCACTTGTAAGGTCGCGTTATAATCATGGCTTATGTAAGTGGTCACTACATTAAAGTCTTCGTGGTTATGCAAGGGTTCCTTCTCTGCAGTCCGATTATAAACTCCCAACCTAACAATTCTATGAAATAAATACCATTTCTGATTACACCAGTTTACAAAAGAAAATTGATGAAATACGCCTTTCAGGAAACCTTTGTTTTCCGGTAAGATACATCTCCCTGATTAAGAAAAGGGCACTTAAAATTTTTTCTATGGTACCAATTTTTTTTTAAGTGTAAAAAACGTTTTTCGCACTTTTTTATTTTCTAACTCGAGTTGTGATAAACCGAATTCGGTCATTAAGGACTCATTTTACAGGTAATAGAATGCCCTTTAACTTTCTTATACACATCATTAAGTTCCATTCATTAGTTCAAAAGCTACACTTCGTCAAAGTTGAAAAATTTGGAAAAAAATCAAAAACGCTGGCATAAATGGCTTCTTTAAAAATACACGCGTAAAAACCGAAATTAGTTTTATGTTGTTTTCTTGAAGGCTGAACCATAACGGAGAATATGCGCCATAGATCACGACAATCCGTTGGTAAATCGATTTTTAACAGATTTTTAAACGTATATACCCAAGTTCAGTATTCGGGAGCAGCGGCCGTTAAACGTTATTTTAAATTTTCAGTGTTGGGGAACGTAAGAATTTGGTGCAAGTTGTTATGCATAACGTCAGTTTCCTTGCTATTAGCGCTGGGCAAGCTAAAAAGTATGCGATTGCAGTTACGAGGAAGTCATTTTTATATATTTTTAGCAAGGAAACTGACGTTATGCATAACAACTTGCACCAAATTCTTACGTTCCCCAACACTGAAAATTTAAAATAACGTTTAACGGCCGCTGCTCCCGAATACTGAACTTGGGTATATACGTTTAAAAATCTGTTAAAAATCGATTTACCAACGGATTGTCGTGATCTATGGCGCATATTCTCCGTTATGGTTCAGCCTTCAAGAAAACAACATAAAACTAATTTCGGTTTTTACGCGTGTATTTTTAAAGAAGCCATTTATGCCAGCGTTTTTGATTTTTTTCCAAATTTTTCAACTTTGACGAAGTGTAGCTTTTGAACTAATGAATGGAACTTAATGATGTGTATAAGAAAGTTAAAGGGCATTCTATTACCTGTAAAATGAGTCCTTAATGACCGAATTCGGTTTATCACAACTCGAGTTAGAAAATAAAAAAGTGCGAAAAACGTTTTTTACACTTAAAAAAAAATTGGTACCATAGAAAAAATTTTAAGTGCCCTTTTCTTAATCAGGGAGATGTATCTTACCGGAAAACAAAGGTTTCCTGAAAGGCGTATTTCATCAATTTTTTTTTGTAAACTGGTGTTATTGAACCCGTGAAAGAGTTGGACAAAAAACTCACAGTTGAGGATGTTTTTCAGTGCAATCACTCGACTTGCAAAGGCAGTGCCCAGCCGTCAAGACGAATTCTTAAAAAAAGAAACAATGAGTCATATGTCCATGCCGAAGTTATGTCTCGAATACCAACGGCTAGTAATAAGCGTTCCTGCACAGATAAATTCGGTCGGCGTTTTAATTAAGGCCATCCAGGGATTCTCAAGCAACCCAGCAGGAACTCCATTCATCACTCTTGGGCCAAAATTGGCCGTAATCCCGCAATCTTCATCCAGAAGCCATGGCGATCCATGTTTGATGAACAGCAAACCGAATAAAATATAACAAGCTGCTGCCGTCGTCATTTTGATCTAACTGAGGAATGCAAACCGCAAAATTTCAAACTAAGTTCTCGGCAGTAGAGAGCCTTATCAGGGGGTTATTCCTTCTCTGAAATATTACTAAGTGTCTGACCTTAAAAAAATTATTTTTTTTAGGAAAAGTGATTTGGGGACTAATCTCAAAGCTCTCGATAAGAGTGTCTTCTGTGTGCTTGAATGTGAGTTTTATTTTATGAACACTAAGCTACTCATTGAATGCAATAAAATTAGCTATTTCGCAGCGAATCAACAGATAAGAAAAACAGTCCAGGTCATAATGTAGAAGACTATTCGAGTTAAAAAATGTGTATGTTTATTAACTTTTTTAACGATAGATTTTTTAAGATGCCTCGACCGTTTTTTAAAACTTTTTTCTGACATTTTTTGTGAAGAGCTATTCAAACTTGCAAATATGATATAATTTTTGAATTCTATATTGATTAAAGTAAAATAAGAATGACGTAAAAGTATGATAGCTTTAGGGTGTACAGCTCTATAAGTAACGCAAACCAAAGGTACTCCAACAGTATCCACAGTTCTAACCGAACGATCGAAATTTTATACAGGAAGAAACGATGTAGTCGAGTGCTTCGACTATCAGGTACCCCTTTCTCTGCTTCAAATTTAAAATATAATAAATAAAATAAAATATAATACAAAATCGGCTCACACCACCTATGCCAGTGCCACAGCACCTAGCGGACGGTAGCGGTACTATTGACCATGCCAACGGTTTTTTAACTTAGTTAGCCATAACTTTTAAAATAACAATGCGATTGGTACGATTCTCAGCACTTAGATAGGTATTGATTGTTAAAATCAATTTCATGTTACACTGAAACAAATCTATAAAAATGTGGGCGACAGACAATCTTTAGCGTTATGGGCGTACAAGTGGGCGTGGCACTCCGCTGAGTCAAACTTGCGCTGCTTAAGAGCACCTAGAATCTGATACTTAAACCCAACTCTCTAGCTTTTCTAGTTTCCGAAATCTCATCGTGCATACGGACGGACAGATAGACGGACAGACCGCTGGTCCTAATCAACAAAATATGGTTTGGAAAGTTTTTATTGATTTTAAAAAGTGTGCCAACAAACTAACAACCCTTTTATTACAAATAAATATTATTTTCGCAATTTAAAAAAAATGTTGTTTTCCTTTTTATTTTAAAGCCAATGACAAGTGATTAACACTTTTGCTTTACAAATGAACTTCAACCTAAAGAACTCGTTCTTAATAGTTGATTTGTTGATAGGAAATCTACATCTGTACCAGAGTTCCTATCCAATCCACGTAGCTCAAAACATTGGTATAGACATCTCGGGAGTGTTTTTCCATCCTTCCGAAACTTGCCAACCCGACGAGTGTGAACGCCCTACTATTTCCGTGGGAAAGAGGCTTAACCAAGGGACTGCCACTGCCCACGTTCGATGTAATAGATTTGGGGTGCTCCATGCAGATTTGCTTGTTTCCGATCTCTTGGAGATCCTCCTGGTAGCATTCGGTAGAATTAACCCGATGTACCATCGATGGTCTCCGGATGCCCCATCCTACGGCAGTGAGTTCCTCCGCACGATCAGCCTTCATCTGGAACTTATCTTGTTCTTTCTTATTAGTTGGTGAAGGCAAACAGATCGGTCTTATCAAATCTGCGCAGAAAAATAGATTTAATTTTTAACATGAACGATTTTTGGTAGCCCCCACTTACCACTGTACTCCACTCCGCTCTCCAATTCAAGCAGAGCGATGTCGTTCCTAGCCAAGCTCATGAATTCTGGGTGCTTGTGTACAGAACTAACTGCGTAGAAATCCATAATACTTTCACTGGTCTCCTCAAAAAGAACCTTCCTGCATAGGCAAATGAAATTGTATTGTGCATCCACTGGAGATATCAAAGTACTCACAATAGAATTTCTTCAGGAATTAGCTCGGCAGTTGTCAGTACAAATCCTAAAAGAGAACAACGGTTTAAATCGTTTTAAAAACTACCATAACTTCAAATACAAACTGTGGGATATAAGTGCGCCGTAGGACACCACAAAAGATTCCATGTAAACCTGGGCTAACCAGGGAAAAGTTTCTGGAGGGGTTTTTGGTCTTCTTCCTAATTTTGCGTTATCCAAACACCCTTCGTCCAGTAAGTCTATCGTTGGAAGTAAGACGGCAATGTCGGATTCCAAGACGACTCGCTCTATAAAGTCGACATGGCTCATAACATCGGAGTAAACACCTATTCCGCCACACTGTTTGGATCCAAAGCTAACGATTCCGAATTGAGTTTGGCGCCATGTGACACCGTCTGAAACTTTTGAATACAAGGGTCCTCCGGAGTCTCCATTACAGGTATCGGCCCCATTTCCTGAGCCTCCACAGATTTGTGAATCAGTCAAATTTTCCCACAAGAATTGATAACAAGTGCTTTTATCCAGTCTGTTGATAGTGGCTGTTTGAAGTACATCACTCGTATTACCCGTTTCCGTTTTTCCCCAGCCAACTGACGTGAATTTGCTAATGGCATCCGTTTCCGATTTGTGTCGGCTATCCAGCTGAATGCAAATCGGTCGAATATGGAGTTTGTAAACCACACTTCTTTGCAATTTTAGCAAAGCTATGTCACCGTAGCTGGTATTCGTTTCAAATGGCTTGGGTTCGTAGAAGCTCACCACATTAAAGTCTTCATGGCGATGCAAGGATTCATTGTCCGTTGATCGGTTATACTCTCCCAGACGAGCAATGCTGGTAAATAATTGAAATCTATTGATATTTTCCGACTTTTAAGAGCTAACAAAACGACTTACAGCTGAATGTGCTTTTCTCTACAATCACTCGATTTGCAAAGACAATGGGAAGCCGATAAGACGAAACCTGGAAAATATAATTATTAGTCATAAGCAAGTCCATTCTGAAATTCTGTCAGGGGTACCAACGATTATTAATAAGCGTTCCTGCACAGATGAACTCGGTCGGCGTTTTAATTAGGGCCATCCAGGGATTGGCAAGGATCCCCGCAGGCGTACCGTGCATTATCCTTCCTACAATATCAGATGCCACTCCACAATCCTCATCCAAAAGCGATGTCGATCCCTGCTTAAGCAAAACCAAACCGAGTAAGGTAACCCAATATGCCGCAGATGTCATTTCGATTGAAAGTGTTCAATTGCAATGAAAAAAGCCTACAGAAATCCCAACATTCATGCTGTCTTATCAACTTTTTATTGATTTTAAGAAATGTTATTACTCGATTAAAAGAGGAAATGCTGCTGCCATCCGTTGATAAGACCTATGTTTGTATGCGCAAATTGAGATTCTACTTGTTTAAATATCTATACATATAAAACGTTTACACGTTCGTCTTATTTGTAAAAAAAAAATAATTAAAATTTTTCGCTAGTCAATAAAAAATCACTCACATTACTTGTTTGCAAATAGGAAGACGACATTTCCATAACACTTTATCTTATAACATATGAGACAATGTACATGTTTGATTTATTTGCCAGACAAAAATCTCATATTTAAATACCTAAAAATTTTAAGTAACTGTTTCGAATTTCAAAATTGTTGCGATATTAAACCCTTTGAAAACGTTTACATTTTTTATTTATATTCTAAATCAGAATATCTAGATAAGGAATCGAGAAATCTTCCGAATCTGCTCCACGTACAAAAAATCTATGGTAATTAATGAACATTCTTTTTTAAGAGAAGAAGAAATAAATACGCAGAGGCAGAACAATTAAAACATTTCATTCTTATGAAGTCAATCGTTATCTTAGAAGTTTAAAATTGTATGTTGTGACATATAACAATGGTGAACGGAAAAGGTTTTAAGCCCTATATTTTTAAGAAAAAGAGGAGCCATTTAAATAACAAATACTAATAAAAATTCATGTTTTTCTGATGAATGCATATATTTAAGCAGACATATTTATAAAAACAATATTTTATTTTTGATAGAAAAAGCCAGAGTTTTTCAAATATATAATACGGTCGCACTGAATAAGAGACCGTTAATCTTTGGTATTTACCATATAACATAAAAATACCGATGCGTTGCAGTGCTGTTAGCCGCATTCCAGTGCTGTTAAGCGCAATTGGGTCATGTGATAGAAACCAGCTGACCCGAACATTTTCCAGAGTCAGGTTTTATTTTCGCTGTCCACATCGCTCCCCGAAAAAATACAGAAAAATCCATCGAAATGGCTCTGCACTCGGCAATCAAGGGAAAACTGATCAGCGTTATCGGCGACGAGGACACCTGCGTGGGATTCCTTTTGGGCGGCGTGGGCGAGATCAACAAGAACCGCCACCCCAACTTCATGGTGGTCGACAAAAACACGGCCGTCAGCGAGCTGGAGGACTGTTTCAAGCGGTTCCTCAAGCGGGACGACATCGACATCATCCTGATCAACCAGAACTGTGCCGAGCTCATCCGTCACGTGATCGACGCCCACACGTCGCCCGTGCCCGCGGTGCTCGAGATTCCCTCAAAGGACCATCCCTACGACGCCAGCAAGGACTCCATCCTGCGTCGCGCTCGCGGCATGTTCAATCCCGAGGATCTGGTGCGCTAAACTCCACGGGTTCCCCAAATTGAGGAGCTCCCGCACACTGTTTCGTATTGCTGCAACCGTCAGAGTATTGCTTTACGCCCTGTCAACAACTATCCATAGATTCAGTGCTACGCTTTTGTTCTTATTGTGTATTTAAAGACATTTATTAAAAGGTTTTCGTTGTATAAATAGATTTAAATGGAATTGTTTAAGAGCTGGAAAGTCAATTCAGTGTTGGGCTGGAAATAACTGGAGTTTTCCCATTGGCAGGTCTTTCCAGAGCTGGCGGGTTACAGACTTCCAGCGGAGAGACAGTAAGCACTCCCTAATTGGGTTTTTAAATATGTATTTAAGCTGCATGGTTTTATTATTTTTTCGCATTAAAGTTAATTAGCAGTCGACTGCCAATATTCTTTGTATTTTTATATAAATAAACTGTTGCAGCAAAGGGGATAAAACAGTTTAATTAACTTTATAAATAACGCATTTTTATAATACCGATGTGCTGTTCCAACAGAATAAATTTTGTAAAACACAAAAGGAGATAGGTACATAAAACTTATGAAAGAGTAGCTAATGACAGCTTAATACAAAATCTCCTGAGAGAAAGAATATAATTAATTAATTAAATGTTAAACAACCAAAACAAACTTAAATATAAATGCAAAATTCGAATTACTGGAATTACAGATAATGTAAAGTTAACAGTGCAAAACCAGCGTGCTGTTAAGTCTGTTATCAGTTATTCCAAGGGCTGTTAGCGCAATCAGCTGTTGTGGAACCCCATATTTTTTTTTAGTTGGCAACGTAAACAGAAACAGATATCCACCTGCGAATTTGGCCACGAATTGTTTTATCGGCATTAGTCACCTGAACCGCTGCACGCACACCATGCTGAAGGCCGTTATCCTCATCGGCGGCCCCCAAAAGGGCACCCGCTTCCGCCCCCTCTCGCTGGACACACCCAAGCCGCTCTTCCCGCTGGCCGGTCGTCCCCTCATCGCCCACCACATCGAAGCCTGTGCCCAGCTCCCCGATCTCCGCGAGATCCTCATCATCGGCTACTATCCGCAGACCCAGATGGAGGGATTCGTGGGCGACATGCAGGCTCTGTACAGCAGCAGCAACATCAACATCAGGTGGGTTCCTCTAGGTGGGAAGAACTTAAGCACCCTGGAGCACCCTGCTGATGTACAGGATATCTTACAATCTATCTATTCATCTTTGTACAAATTGCATCCAAATTAGAACTGGGAACTTGGGAGGAACTATTTCAAGAGCACCTTCCTATTTTATAGGATAGCAAAGCAACTTACTAAACCTCTGTATACAAACTGTACCCAGCCAAGAACTTAGACCTTGGAGCACCCTGCTATATAGCACAGCATAGAAATGTACTATACCTTTTTATACATTTGTTTACATTAGTGGTTCCGGACGTTGTGCCTTCGTTTAATAGCCTAAAAGTATAGTTTATACTCATCTAGTTAACCAGGTTCTTATAATAACATTTATATCTTCAGTGAAGGTTCTTCACGCAGAGTTTAAAACTATAAGAGCTCCAGAGTTCACGGGAAATATAGTTATACTACAAGTTGTAGTACTAACAATTCTAATATAAGTTGGCAGGATCCTAAAAGGTTTCCTTTATCTAACGAAATGAATGGTATATAGTAAGTGGTGATGGTTTCAATTTGATTGGAGTTATAAATACTGGCAAAAATGATCTAAAATGAAATTTCATTTTAGCCTTCCAAATTACCCCTTATCATTAAAAAAGGTTAAATTAATTTGGGCTAAATTTTTCCATCAAAGTCAAGTGGCTTTATTTTCTGCAACCCCAGAAATATTACAAATATTTTACCATGACGTGTCCCCTATTTCAGATATTTGCAGGAGTTCACTGCCTTGGGAACTGCAGGTGGAATGTACCACTTCCGGGATCAAATAAGAGCTGGCAATCCCCGAGCCTTCTTCGTTCTGAACGGCGATGTCTGTGCGGATTTTCCGCTGCAGGAACTGTGCGAGTTCCACGAGAAGCGTCCATCGAGTGCTCTGGTGACCATCATGTCCACTGAGGCCACGCGTCAGCAGTCGCTGCACTACGGATGCCTGGTTTTCGATCGGAGTAGCGGAGCTGTCTCGCATTATGTGGAAAAGCCCAGCTCCTATGTGTCCACCTTCATCAACTGCGGGGTGTACGTGTGCTCCATGGATATATTTACTGTGCTGGCACAGATTTTCCACTCACGGGGTCAAGAGTACGGTTGCCATGGAAACGGAAATGGCAATGGCAGGGAGCAGGGCCACATCAAGTGGGAGCAGGAGGTGCTCACTCCGCTGGCAGGCACCGATAAGCTCTTCGCCATGCCGGTGCCCAATTGGTGGTCCCAGTTGAAGACCGCTGGATCGGCCATCTACGCCAACCGTCATTACCTGGGCCTGTATAAGAAAACGCATCCGGAGAGATTGGCCAACGTGGGCACCAAACGCGGTGAGGGCGACGGCAGCTTGATTTGCACAGTGTTCCCGGATGTGTATGTGCATCCCAGTGCCACCGTTCATCACAGCGCAGTGGTGGGTATAGAAAAATCATATTCCCTGAAAGGGTTTTTAAGATCGCATGTTTTTGGAGGAGGTCTACAAATAAGATTGCTTAAGATTGTTATAAATTTATTATTCATTTTCCAGCTGGGACCCAATGTGGCCATTGGACCTGGAGTGACAATTGGACCAGGTGTGCGCATCCGTGAATCGATTGTTCTAGAGCAGGCCCAGATCCTAGATCACACGCTCGTGCTGCACGCGATTGTGGGCAGGGGTTCCACTATTGGCGCTTGGGCTCGAGTCGAGGGCACGCCCAGTGATCCGGACCCCAACAAGCCCTTCGCCAAAATGGAGAACCCACCGCTGTTCAACAACGAGGGCAAACTGAATCCTTCGATTACCATACTGGGTAAGTACTTCAAAGCATTTGAAGATATATTTTTATTAAATTAACCTCCCATTTCAGGCTGTTTTGTGCAGGTGCCCGCCGAAAAGATCCTGCTGAACAGCATCGTACTGCCGCACAAGGAGCTCAGTCGCAGCTTCAAGAATGAGATCATCTTGTGAGGATGATTACTTAATATTATCTTTGACCTTTGACCCTATAAGTATGCCATTTTGTATGTTTCTACTGTGCAATATTCCAAAAATCTATCTATTAAATGTTCTTTAGCCCTTGCAAAGCAAATTTGGAAAGATTTGGGTGATTCGAAAGTGGTAGTTGGGTGATATCAGTTTGTTATTCAATATATTTGTTTATAAATCCCTCAATCTACCTAAATATATCTAAAAATTGTGCTATGATGTCAATGATAGTTTTTGGGTCACCGAGAAACTATTGTAATGGAGCCAAATAACTGTCACTTAGTTCGTAAAAAATCATTGCATACTTTCTGGAATTAAACTGTGAAGGGTATTACTATAATAGTTCGAAGTTTGGGATGAGGTTTGTGAATTCACGATTACGAATTTTGGTCTGACTTTTTTTTTTCTTTTTAATTGACTAAGAGCTATATGAAAATTGCTTCAAAACACCCTTAAACTCAACTGGTACAGGCAAACTGTTGTAACTTGAGTAGCTATTTCAAAGTCTCTCTAATAAAATGTGATTTCCTTATTAACTAAGCAGCCTATTTAGACAAATTAGCATTGCGAGAAAACACTTTTCAATATTAATTTTTTTCATTACTGATTGGTAGATGGATTTGATTTCGATATATGTATCTAATGGATTAATCTATTGTATCAAAGGGGTTATTATTCAATAAGAATATTTACAATAGACTGAATGTGAATCATTTAAACATGGTTTTGTTTTGAATTACATTTTTCTAAGTTGTTTTTATAAATAAATAATATACATTTATTTAAAAGAGAGTTAACATTCCGATAACGATATGTCGTTAGGGGTCGTGACACGCGTGTTGCACAGGTAAGCGACCCACGCACACCGACACCTGCGCTCTCTCGCTGGCTATCGCTCTCTCCCGCTCTCCTTCGTTTAGACCAAAACGCGTTTACGTTGCTCGACTGTCAGCCAGTTAGTCGCCGTCGCCTGTTGCTTTTGCTCTGTGTATCTCGCTCTGAAAATAGTGATATCTAAACATTAGTCGATACAAAATAATTGTTAATACAATGCTGAGCTGAGATGATTCTGGCCAAAAGGAAATCTGAACAGGTAAGCGGACTATTCTACGTGGGCATATTCTCCATTCTCCGTTGGTAATTGAGCAAGCGAAGAAGAAGAGGAAGAAGAAGAAGACGGGCAGAGCAAACAGTGTACAGGTGTAAGTGTGTGTGCGAAGGTGAGTGTGTGTGGGTGAAGCAGGTAACTTCTGTGTGAGAGAGAGAGTCATGCTCACTGAGCGTAACTGTCTTGCGCAGCGTGGGAATCTAATGGAGAGCGGATTAGTTCTCTGTTGTAAGTCAAGCTTAGGCTGAGGAGTACGGGTAACTCTCCCTCTCTCCCGCGTTGCCAACTACCGAAGCCTATTGGCAAACACACACCTGGCCGTGTTGTTGTTTTTGTTAGTATGTGCGTGATGGAATCTTGTTTGGCCTGCTCTCTCGCGCTCTCCCCGCTCTTTTTAGGCAAGCGCAGCTCACTCACCTTAATTTACCTTCGTGGTTACCTGCGTTTCGCTGCGGCGATCAGTTGTTTTTTCAACTTGAAACGAAGCGGATGCGCGGCGGTTAAAAAGCGTTAATAAAAAGTTCCGACACACACACACACATAAATCGCTGGCACGCACACTCACACCAGAAAAAAAAACTAGAAAAAAGACAACAAGACAAAGTTTTTAGAAGCAACAGGTCAAGAAGCAGAAAAAGACTTGTTTGCTGGCTTCAAATTAAAATAGTTAACTATTCAAAAGGCCACAACAACAACGCAGGCGTTGAATCAAATTTTGCTGTAGTACGTGTGTTGGTTACCCCAGTGCATGTGTGTGCGAGAGAAAAGAAAGTGCAATAAAAACCAAAAATTGTGAAAAGCCAACAAGTGCAATGTATACAACAACGTGTTGAACGGAAAAAAAAATACATAAAACAAGAAAACAGTAAAAACAGTTAAGTTGCCGCGCGGAGAGGAGGAAAGAGAGTGAGTAAGAAGGAGAGGAAGCAGATAAAGAGGAGCAGGAGGAAGCTGTAGAGTAGATATCATTTACCTTTACCAACAACCTGTCGCATCCCACAAAAAGAGCCAGAGAGCGAGAGGGAGAGAGAGATAAAGAGCGCGCGCGACAGAGAGGGTGAATATCCGATTGAGAACCACTTGTTGTTGCTGTAAGTCAAACAATCTATTAAATATACCAAAATGAATGAACAACATCAACAAAAACAACAAGAAAAGAACAGTAAAGCGATGCGCTAAACAAAGTGAAAACAAATTTACAGTTAACTGAGATGAGATCAAAAAACGAAGATGCAGAGAGAAAGAGATCCCGACTTGTTTATAATACCCTTCCTTCAAAAAAGATCTGTTTAGTTTTTAAAAGAAACTGTTGCCAAAAAATCTAAATCAGAAAGATAAGCATATTTTTAGATAATATAAAGTATAGTTTTTCTGTGACTATTTTTTTATTGGAAAATCTTACTTAGTAATTTAAATTTTTAACAAGATAAGATAGTATGAAAATGAAACTCATGGTGCTTAGTTGAAAATTCGAGGGCATTCAAAGTTCGCCTAGTGCTGATCTCTTTTTTATTGGCAGAATCACAGCAATACTTTTCGAGTTGCACTTGTTGCTTGCGTGAGATCCAGTTAAATGAGGGGCAGGAGATAAAAATCCAGATATAGCGAGAGCCTAAAACATTTTCCTTCTTCTCTGCGTTTTTCTACCACTTTTTCTACTTTTTGTGAATAACTTTGGCAATTGGCATTTCTCGCCAGCAATTTTGCGCAATCATAAGTTTCCTGTTGCCCCAACAACAACTAACGGCACACGCCAGTGGCAACAACAACAACAACAACAACAACAACGACACATATTTGCAAGCGGGGAACAATGCATAAAACAAAAACCGTAAAAAAGAAACTTGCGCAATTCATAATTTAATAAGCAGGTCCGAAAAAAAACAAACAACCAGCAAGTAAAATCTGCTCACTTTCTGGTTTACCAATCAGCAGGTAGCAAATTATTAATTGCAATAGTTGTTGCCGTTGTCGGGGTAATAGCTCTTTTTTTGTATCGCCCTCCTGCTGCGCCTGTCACTAATTCGTCTTTAATCACGGGTCCATGGTATTGTCTTCCCAAAAGTGTAACGATCGGAGATCAATCTTCATTTACAGTCCAACTTCATAAACCTATTATCTTTGGATATCTAACTACGATCAATAATAATAATGATACTTTTAAGGCATCGAAAGCATTATAATATTATATATTCAACATATGAGTGTATAATAAAGACTTTACAACTTTGGTCTGATTACTTACACACATTGAGGTTTATGGCTATCTGGAACCATCGGTCAGTGTTTCTAATATTCCGGTTCATAAAATACAAACTTGTAACTGTCAAATGACATTAATCTCTTTTCCTAAAAAAATTACCTTACTACTGTTTTGAATCTTGTACATCTTTCTTAAATAAACATTTAATATAAGAATTAAATAAAATGTTTAGCTTTCATTTTTTATTTAGATCCAATACTTTATATCTAACACTTTATTCAACTTTGCCTTTAAATTTTTTATTATTTCCTAAACTTCATATCTATAGATAATTATAATACCTAATTTAACTTACTTCATCTGAAAGCTAAACATTTTTTATTTAGATCCAATACTTATATCTAATACTTTATTCAACTAACTTTGTACACTTTGTCTTTAAATTTTGTATTATTTCCTAAACTTCATATCTATAGATAATTATAATACCTTATTTAACTTACTTCATCTTATGCTACTTCAAGTTACGAAAGTCTCACTGTCTGATTTCCAGTTAGGGTCTGTTTTTTGGGTTTCTTCTTTTTAATGACAACCGTAACGCTTTCCCATTGTCTTTTCGGTCATTCTTTATTTTGTTTAATTGGGCCCAGACTTGCGTACCGTTATTCATTAATGAATGGAGTACCTTTTCCATTTCCATTTGCCATTGAGTGTCCAACGAAAGGGAAAACTTATCAATGCGTGTCTAGCCTTTTGGTATATCAGTATCTCTCTACCGTTTCCAATGCAATCAATTAAAATCACATAAACCATATCATAAGCCTACGACTTATGATATGCCACTCTCGAAAGGTTGGGATAAATCAACAGGTTTTAATGGGCTGTAAGGGCTTAAAGTCGCGGAACAGGAAATGGGGCACTTTTAGGCCTTGGCTTTTAATTGCAGCAGTGAACTTACAACTTTTTAGTTTAACTAGCCCCAGAGGTCGAAAAACAGTGTCAAAAGTAAGAGACTTACGAACCAGTTTAGGATTTTTTCTTATGAATACAGAGGTAATTCTTTTGGGGAGTAAGAAATTGTGGGAACCTGTATTGATGATGATTTCCCGGTAACGGGGCCAAAAAAAACGAACCAAAGGGCAGTGCAAGATGCAAAAAACGTTAAACGTTTAAAACCCGTAAAAAGCAAACGTCATAAATTGCACAAGACCTAAGATTATAACCGCAATCGCTCATTACCACACGGCCGCTCTTCGAGATGATAAATCCCCTCGAACAATACGAGTTTCGAGTCAAGTGTGGACTATAAAAGCAGAGCGTTATGCTACAGTCCAACTTCTGTAAGTCCAACATACACAAAGCCAATATGAGTAATTGGGAAATTTTGAAAAGTTATCTTACCATGTTTTTTTCAAACTTTAAACTTCAGACTTTTTAAAACACTTAATAAAATTTGAAGTGTCTCATAATGACGGTTTTTTTTTAGCGGGTACACAGAGAAAATTATGCCGCTCTCATCTGAGTTGAAAATTTTCTTAAAAATAGAAAGACATTTTTAAGTTGAATTTAATTTCATTTTGCTCGAATTAAGATGAATTGAGGTACAGTGTATATCTCAACAAATAAACTATTAGTCCAGTCAGTAGTGTATACTTTATAAAAAGTTAATATATAAACTCAATTTAACTTTTCTCTTCTCACCATTTCGTTCTAATATTGAGAACATTGATACCAAATGTACTTATATGGTTTTTATGAAAAAATGTTCTCAATTCAAGAACAACGTACTTGA